AAGAGTAATTAGGGTTAGACGCTCCTCATCTCCCTCCGCTTCAGAGTGGACTCGACTTACCTGGCTGTACGAGCACAGGTGAGGTAGCTGGGTGTGATGGCCTTGATTACCTCTTCCCTACACTCACCCGGCCTGGGATGGGTGCGCCCAAGTCCTTCACCTCCTGAGGCCTGAGCTCCTTTAACTATAAGATGGGGCGATAACATCTACACTCCTAGATGCAGGGGCTGGAGCGGGTCAGTGTGCACAGAGTGCCCGTCCCTGTGCCCACAGTCGGGCAGATATTAAGAGAGACCTCCCACGTGGTGGTCATGGTTACTCCTCCCTCCCTGGAGCCCCTGAGTGCAGGGTACCTTGTTCAAGGACCTAAGGCGGCTGTATCTGTGCAGAATCCCCTTCCCATGGTTAGACTGTGGGATCTGCAGTCGGCAGGTCAGAATTCATTCCCGTGAGTGAGTGACAGGACTCAGGGCGGCCCCATGCCCGGCACACAAAGAGGCCAGCAGGTTATGCTGTTCCTGTTTCTGAGCTGCAGGGAGAGACCAAGGGCTATTTTTAGCCCTGGAAGGTTTGGGTCCTGGGGAGGGCTCGGGGCGTGTTTGTTACATTAGGTTTTGACATAATGCAGTGTCACCCTCCACAGGGATCTGTTTCAGGTTGTTTTTATTAATCGAAGAGTGAGGTTTTTGTTTTTCTCAAGCTGTGATGTTCAGACGTAATGGGCAGCAAACAGCACCCCGCTACACAGATTTAACCTGATAAAAACACATCCTTTGTTCTGTCGAATTTCCATGAGGTATCCTAAAAACAGGAAAAAAGGCCGCAAACACGGCACTGCCTCTGCTTGAGTCAGTTGTTTTTTAGGAAAAAAAATATTTTGCGGTTCACTATTGTGCGTCTCACACAAATAAACTGTGGGGGAGTGCGCTGTGATTGGAGAGCGGAGGCGAGCCCCCCCCCCCGTGGAAACGTTTTCAGCTCCTTCAGGAGCGGCTACAGATAATTCAGGTTTGGGATGGTAGAAACAAAACGTGGTTGGGAAATAATGAAAGACGTCTCCCGAGACCAGACCCAACACATGCACTTAGGAAATGTGGGTGGAGTGTCCAGGCCGGCCCCAGCTGGAGATTAGGAAGGGGACAGGTAGATTCAGGGCTTGCCCTCAGACAGCTCAAGGGGCAGAGCGATAAGAAGACTGGTGGGAGCTCTCACAGCAGGACTCTGCTAGACCACCCTGCAATTTCCAAGTTGCTTAATCATCTCTGACTGGAGGCTCCTGTAGATGGGGGGTAAACAAGCCCTCTTCTCATCTCCACAAATGAAAGGATCCTGTATGACAGAGCGAAGCATGAGACCCAGGGACAGAGTTCCAACCTGAGACACAGGCCCAGGGCAGGCCCGGACAGTGCTGAAGGGATCCTGGCAGGACAGTGTGCACCCACCGCAGAGGCCACCCCTTCAGACCCGCGCCAGTTAGAAGGCCCCAGAGGGATTGCTTTGAAAAGGTGACAGTGACAGAGTGCCAAATGTACGTGGAAGTGCTGAGGAAGGACTGGAGCAATTGGAGACAGATTTGAGGTTGTATCAGAGACCAGTACATGGAAAATGAAGCAAATTTTTAAAATAAGAAAATAATTTTAGGGGAAAGACAAAGATGTATAAGCAAAGTAAAAAAATCAGTTGTGCTGGGACACAACTGTGAACATACGCATCTGGCCAAAACTGAGCTGTGTCTCTGTTAGGAAGCTCGGAGGGCAGGGGCAGGGGCGTGTGCTGTGCGTGGGGTGATGGGTGATGGGGGCGCCCGTGCTGTGGTGGGGTGATGGGTGATGGGG